ATTACAGGTAAGCGAGGGACATCATCTTTTGTTTTTAATTATTCTTGAGAACCGTTATTTCATATTTTGGCATGCAGTTGAGGGGACGGGAAGAGGTCTGGAAATTCCATACAGTTTATCGAGAAAGCGTATCCGTAGTGTTTCACTGACTGCATACAATTGAAGGACATGAGATCATGGATGATTCTTTATCTCTTTTGATTCTCTCGGTCTTTCGGTTCCTCGAGCTGGATTGGAAACATAGGCGTCAGGAGCGGAGAGCGACGGGTCTTAACCCCTTCCGCGCCGACCTGCGGCACAGGCACCAGTGCTACAGAGGTCCGGGTCTTAAGCTGAAACTGAAGAAAGCTCTCTTCCGCACCTCCCATCGCTCCCCTCACTAGGGTAGCTGTCCTTGATCCACTTTTGATTGGAAAGGTGGTTTGAAGATCAGTGATGAACAAGTGCTCATTCATTTATGCTTGGTAAGTGACTGGATTGGAACCATTTTCTTCTGGCTTTTCTTTTTTAGACATCAATGGTAAATGCTACTGGCTTGGGTTCACTGCAATTCAAGACTCATTCTCCACCGTTGCTTTCGAAAATGTCCATCTATTCGGGTTCATACGCCTCACCAGGGTATTACCGTTAACACTTTCATAATTTTCAGTATCATTATCATCATTATTTTTAACATTACGGTTATTTTTTTTTTGTTACCGCCATTACTGCTATTATCGTAATTTTTATTGCGATCATAAACATTATTACTTTCTGCATACAGTTATTATTATTATAATCATTAGCTTTGAAAGGGATGAAAAAAAAATATCCAGATCTGTGGGTACTTCTTTTTTGCATCTGCCTTATGATGTGGTTATTTTTAGGCCTCCTCAAATCTCATCAGCTTCGGTGTGTGGCGTTATTTGTCCAGATCCACTGGTACCTTCGGTGAAGTCAATCAGCAATGGGAAAAGAATTTCGGGTCTATTTTTCACATTTCTTGCTGAAAGTAAGTGCAAACGCAATTTTTTAACGACTTTTATTTATTTTTGGAAGCCCAAAATAAGCAAAGTTTTATAGAATTTTGAGCAAATTTGTGCCTTTTCAAAATTTGTTCATACTATTTTTATAGATGTAGCTTAGAGCAGAACAGTCTAAAATAGTTATCTGCGGTTATGTTTTTGCATCTCAAGGTTTCCACGGTGATATACCGAATAGTCTTGACAGCTTCTGATGTAAATCTGCACTTCATTTGTCAAATTATTTCATTTTTAGCTCCTTTGGAGGATAATTCCAGTCGGAAACAAACCTACGGCTTGAGAACCGTAGAGCGAACTGTTTCGTTTG